CCTCGGTGGAGCCCGGCGCGGCCTCTGAAGCCCCGAGGGTCTCCGGACCGGTGCGGAAGAGGCGGCTCTCCCCCCGGATCCTCCAGGTGGAGCCGCCTGGGTGGCTGGGGCGAGTGGGTCTCCCAGATCTCCCCCGCGTGGCTCGGCTGGGTCTCTCTCCGCTCCTCAGCGCCTCTCGCTTCGGTCTCTCCGCCTTTCTCTCTCCGGGCTGTTGACAACCCCCACACCAGGAAGTCCTGCCTCCTCGGGCCTGCTGACTGCTCCTCTCCTCCTCCTTCCCCTCTTCCTCCCCTTCCTCCGCCCTCCCTGCCTCCTGGGGCTCCCGGCCAGCTGGCCCGGGGCCAGAGCTGCCGCCACCGCTGCTAGTGCAGTTGCGGCTGCCGCTACTGCCGCGGCCGCTCCCGGGGCCCCTGAACGGGCTTAACCCCACACCTGCTGGGCCCTAGCCCGGCGCTTCCTCAGAGGGCGGGGCCGTGGAGGGCGGAGTCAAGGGGGAGGAGTTTGCGGAGGCCCGGGATTCCCTTACTTGTAGGCACTTGCTGCCATTGGCCTACCGACACCGAGGAGAGCGGGAAGGAACTTACCCACCCGGGGGGCTCCGCTGGGCTCCCCGCCACCCCATAAGCACCCCGTACACGTTGCGGTGCTGCTCCGCCGTTATTGTCGTATCTTCAGCGGTTTCCCCAGTAACTCTGTGGGGAAGGTACCGTTACTCTCTCCTGTCCTTATTTTTAAAAGGTGGATCATGGTGACAGTTTGCAAACAGGCCCCCAAGTAGAGAGAGAAAGTACGATGCACTCCCGGGTCCCCATCGTGCAGTTTCAGCCATGATCAACTCACAACCAGCCTCGGTTCATCTCTCCTTCCAGTACCTTTGGGTGTGTTGTGCTGGAGAGTTTGAACCACGTCCCAGGCATCGTTTCGACGGCCTTCTTAGATGTGGATATCAAGACCAGGAAGGTTCAGAAAGGCTGTCGGTGGTACAGCCGGAATATTCTACACACTCAAGTGTGCCCTTGTCTAGCCCCCACGTAGAGAGACAAAGAGCACTGCTCAGAAACGTGCTGACTTGCACTTTCTCTCCAGCCCTGGTCACATACACGGAGAGACATCTGGTGCACACAGTCCCCCGCACAGATGCACACCAGGACAAACCTGGCTGGCCCCAAGCATCCCACCTCTCCCATCCCACCCTTCCTTTGCTCTTGGAGGATCTGCACACATACATGAAGGGCCCACTGTGTGCTTGGCATGAAGAAATAAACCTCCAACGTCCATTTTTCTCCCTTTTGGCACCCTCAACCTGCCATCTGAGCAAAAGTGGGGTCTAACAGCCACATCTGCCCTCACTCCTAGCTTCAGAAGGAAATGGATTCTAATTAATTTTGGTCAAATGGAACTATTCCTGAGGACACTGAAAATTCCTCACATTCGTCTGCTTTATATAGTGATCTCACAGATTCTCCAAACAGTCCAGGGCAGGGATGGGGTCGGTTTTGAACTCCAGTGTTTCTGCCAAGGAAACAGATGCTCGACGGCATTCGGTTATTTATTTGCCCGAGGCCTCAGAGCTAGCGTTTGATGGCACTGAGGCTAGGACTGGGCTGACACATCCCTCCTTCTTCAGCTTGAGCTCATGGAAAAAAATTTTTAAAGATTTTATTTATTTGACAGAGCGAGAGAGAGATCACAAGTAGGCAGAGAAGCAGGGGGAAAGTAGGATCCCTGCTGAGCAGACAGCCAGACGCTGGGCCAGATCACAGGAGCCTGAGATCCTGACCTGAGATAAAGACAGAGACCAACCCACTGAGCCACCCAGGCACCCCTAGCTCACGGAAATTTTTAACCACTCTTCAGGGTTGGGAAACAAAATGATGCCGCCTGTCTCCACGTTTACATATTCTGAATTTCTTTGTTAAGATGCATCTGTACTCTGCCTCTCTCCCTTCCTGGTAACAGGGGCTACCTCAGCCAGGTCCTAAAGGCCTCCCAAGTTCTGAGGTCCAGGAAGCAGCCTCCCACACCCCCCCCCCCCCCCCCCCCCCCCCCCCCCCTGCCAAACTCCGAAGCCCAGCCCCCCGCCCCCCCCCCCCCCCCCCCACACCCCACCTCTCTCCCCTCTGGCAATACTCAGAACACAGCCCCGCTGCTCCGCCCCCAGATCCTCCTTCCTTCAGCGCTGACTTGCTACAAACTACCCAAAATTTATCTCTGGACTCTCCCCTTCCCATCAACTCAGAAGCTCAGCCTCAACTTGGGACTCCTCCGTGTCTGCAGGCCCTGGGACGTTGCTGGTCTCTGCAGAAATGTTTATTGAATGAATAAATAAAAATTCATTCACACTAAGGTGTGAATGTGAAAGGGCTGTTATGTATTTTAATGTGTTCCCTCTCCTGGGGGTAATAATAGCTCTTTAATGTATTTTCCAGCTTACAAATCTCCTTGTATTCCTTTGCTGCCCCCAACAACTTCATGGAGCAAGGTATGAGATGAGGCATCTCTCAGAGAGGTGGTGTGATTTACCCAAAGCCACACAGCGCCATCTGCAAAGATTTGCCATATAAAGTAACGTGCACAGGTTCGGGGGATTAGGGGTGGGGGATCCATTTTTCAGCCACTTAAGGGTAAAAGCCAGCTCCTCTTGCAGCTGATGTTCGGCAAAGGGATTTCCGAGGGAGGATTTCTCGGAACCTAAGGCAAAGGTGAAGGGGCATTGAGGAGGGGGGCGCGGGGCCGTTGCCGCGGTGGTCCCAATCAGAGGCCGATCCCCGGGGCACCCAGAACCTGGAGGGCACCGCCGCGCAGTCAAAGGTTGTTGGGAGGATGACTTGAGCCGCTGGGGCGGACTGGCCTTAAGCCGTGGAGCCCAGGCCATGAAACAAGGTCCGGGCGCCGGGGAGGCTCCAGGGATACGCGACCAGCTGCAGAAGAGCCAGCTCTGACGCCCTCCCCGCACCTGGGGGGCTGCAGGAAGATGGGGCGCAGCCAGGGGAACACGCCCCCTGCTGGGCAGAGACTCGGATGGTAGGGCTCACGACTCTCCGAGCCCCTCCGCCCGGAAAGCGGCACCCCCTGCCGGCCTCGCCGCCTCACTGCACTCGGGGCCCCGCAGCCGCAGCCGCGCCCCGGCCCGACGCGGGGTGCGCACCCGGAGAGCGCCAGGCGCACACGGGGTACGCGCGGGGGCGCAGGTCCCGGGCTGCCACTGGGGGGCGCCGCTACGCGCTGCGCCCGGCTTCGCTCCGCCGGGGCCTCGGACACCGAACCGAACACCGCCCGGCCGGGCAGAGGCCGAGGGGCGACGAGGAGCGGCCGCCTCAAAGCGGCGGCGGGCCGGCGGCAGGTCCCCCGCGCCCCGCGACCTTTCTCCGAGTCCCCCCGCTGGCTCGGCTGGCTCTGCGGCCACCGCGCCTCCCAACCCATCCCGGCGGCGCAGCGCGGCGCGGCCGCTCCCACTCCGTCCTTGGAGGGTGTGGAAGGGTGGGTTTGGGGCCGGGGGCGGGTCTGGGGGCGGACCCGGAGGCGGGGCTGTCTCTGCGGCAGGGCCCAGCTCGGCTCCCCCCCGGTCTCTCTCTGTCTCTCCTCCTCCCTCCTCCTGCTCCGGGCGGAGCCCGGCATGGGGGGGCCGGCGCCCGGCAGGCCAGGTACGGTGATGTGGAAATTGGGGAGCCTTGGTGCGGGGAGGTGGGGTGGGGGGGACAGGGAGTAGTGAGGATTGGCGGGGCGAGAGACGGAGAAACCCAGGGTAGCAGGACAAGGAGAAGGGGAGGGGTGCCCGGGAACCTGGGGCCCTTGGATGGAGAGGGGGATGAAGCCGCCAGGTTTGGAACAAACAGGGAAGGGAGAGGACGGCAGTGAGGAGGGGCGCCTAGGAGGAGAGGTGAGGCCGACGGCGGAAAGGAGAGTGTGTTTGGGGGGAGGGAAACCAGAGCAGGTCTGGAGGCCGCAGCTCAGAAGGTAGCTATGGGGCCAGACGGGAGACCCCCGGGTGGGATTGAGGGCAGGGACTGGAAGAGGGAAGCCGGGAGCCTCCCAGATCCTGGAGGAGGAAGAAGGGGATCTGGGCCATCATCGAGGGAGGTGGAGACTGTCACTGAGGGGCCGGGACGCAGGCATAGGGGTGGACCGAGGCCCGGGGCCCAGGCAAAGGACTGGAAGGGAAAACTGCCCGCAGGGAATGGAAATGGATGGATGGGTAGTATTGTAGATGCCCAACTCCGAGTGCCCCCCGCCTCTTCGCCAGCATCCCCACCCTACCCTCATGACATCCCCAGCGTCAGGGCCCGAGAGGGTGTGGGGATTCTGACCATCTCCCCCTTCCCCAGTGGGGTACAATGTACGCAAGTAGGCTGTAGCAGAACTCCTTGTCTGTAGGTATGTCCAGCTCCCCATAGCCGGTGTGTATGTGTGTGTCTGGAGGTCTGTGTGTGCTGTGGGTGTGTCAGGGGTGTTTATGTCTGTGTGTGTCTGCCTGTTCCTAGGTTGTGTTTACCCATCTGATCTGTGTCTGGTCCTCTGTCTGTAGATATGGGTCTGTGGCCTGGTGGTTTGTGTGTCTGAATGTGTATTTGTGTGGCTGTGGGGCTGCTGTGTATTTGTGGGGCCTGTCTGTGTGGTAGATCAGGATGTATTTACAGGATGGGAATCTGTGTCGAGCTGATCTCTCCAGGATGTGTATTTGTGGCTCTGAACACCTTTGTCAGGGTGTGTGACTCTGTACACATATCCTGTGTCTGTCTGTCTGTCTGTGGGTCCTAGAGGCAGTGTTGGGTTTTCTCTGCCTCCATCTGTTTTCCACTCTCTGAGGACCCAAGTCACATCTCCACTCCTTTCTCTCTCTCTTTCTCTCTCTCATTCATTCCTGGCCCCCACCCACCCCACATCTTTCTTTTTTCCTTCCCATCTCCCCCTCCAAGTGGATCCGGGACCCAGGGAGGGCCGCCCCCCGGGCCTGGTGGCGCTGAGCAGGGCCCCCCAGCCCCCACCTCCTGCCCCACGACATGAACCTCCTCTACCGAAAAACCAAGCTGGAGTGGAGGCAGCACAAGGAGGAGGAGGCCAAGAGGAGGTAAGGCCGCGGTCCCAGATATCTGCCCTGTGGGCTGTCCCACCTCTGCTTCCCCAGTGTCTTGGCCACATCCTTCTGCCCTTCTTGGGTCCAACAGCCTGGTCAGGAGTCTGATCTGAGAGTCTGTGCTCAGTACAGAATTGCTGGGATTGCACACACCCTGTCCCCACCCTGCTCCTGGCCCCTGGCTCCAGCCCTTTTCCTGGCCTCTTGTGGGGGGGCCTTCCGGCTCAGGAGCACCCCGTTGGCTCTTCCCACCCCTGGAAGCCCAAGTCACTCCTTCCTGACTCACCTCTGGCCTGTAGTCTTCTCCTTTCTGTCAGTATGGGCTTGGCTCCAGGCTCCCCTGTCACCTGACCTTGGAAGGGGCAGGCCCCACTGCCCTCCTGGTCCAGGGACAGGGTCACTTGTGGGGTACCAGAGAACATCCGTTTGGCCCTCTCCCCAGCTCCGCTGCTGGGGGAGGCGAGTGGCCAACGGACAGGATTGTGTGTGTGCGTGTGAGTGTCGTGGTGGGAGTCATGAAGGCTGGGCCCTGCAGAGGAGCCAGGCCCGGAGACCTCTCCCTGCTTGCCCTCTCCTTGCCCTCCCAGGGACCTGGATCCTGGCCTCTCTCCGCTCGCTCCCCTCTCTCTTCACTCCCATTGACAGCACAGCCTCTTGGAGCCTGAGTCAGAGCCACCTCCCTGCTCCCTTCTCCCTCCTCGAAACTGTGGAGTTTAATTCTTGTTGTTAATTAGATTAATCAGAGCTATGACTGCAGTGATCTCTCCCTAATGAAGGGTTAGTAGACAGGGCCTTAATGAGAGCCCACCCCGCAGTGGCTCTCCCCTCTCTCCTGCCAGCCGCCCCTCCCTTCACTCGCACAGAAGCTCAGGGACAGTGAGAGGGAATGGGGGTGAGCCTGGGAGGGTGACAGAGAAAGGACGGCACCAGCACCAAGGGAGAGGCAGAGCCAGAGGAAGGGAGGAAAAGGATCAGCAGGAGGAGGCCGCTCTGGCGATGCGGCTGTACAGCCCTCGGCCGGGAAGGGAGGCGCAGGTCGGTGTGGGAGCGAAGGCCGCGGGAGCCGGACATGCTGGGAGGCCAGAGGCCAGGTGTGGGCTGGCATGAGCGTGAGGAGCAGAGCCCTGGCGGCAGGTGTCTGTGCCCGGCGGGGCTGTGCTGCCTGTTTGCGTCTCTCTACCTATGCATGAAGCCATCCACACAAGGGCCCTGTGCCAGATATGCCCAGGCTGGGATCAGACAGCTCCAGGGACGCTCCCCTGCACACATACTCACCCTTTCGCTCATCCCTACTTGCCGTGCCTCCCCGATTTCCTTGTCTGTTTTAAAGCCTAGGGATTCTGCCAGAAGTTTCTACTTTGCTGTCCTAGACCTTCAGGCAGCCTCCCATCCCCACCCCAGGCCCCTTCCTCCTCCTCCTCCTCCTCCTCCTCCTCTTCTCCTCCTCCTGGGAAGGCACAGGGCTGCACACCCCTCTGAGGGTAGAGGAGGGGGACGCCCAGGCCTGAGGCCCAGCCTCTGTTCCATCTTGGCCTTCTCTCCCCAGCTCCAGTAAGGAGGTGGCTCCTGCAGGCCCCGCAGGGTCCGGGGCCGGCCCGGGGCCTGGGGTCCGGGTGCGGGACATCGCCTCGCTGCGCCGCTCCCTCAGGATGGGCTTCATGACGATGCCGGCCTCCCAGGAGCACACCCCCCACCCCTGCCGCAGCGCCATGGCCCCACGCTCACTCTCCTGCCATTCAGTGGGCAGCATGGACAGTGTTGGGGGTGGACCTGGGGGGGGAGGCGGGGGTCTCACCGAGGACAGCAGTGCCCGAAGACCCCCTGCCAAGCCCCGGAGACATCCCAGCACCAAGCTCAGCATGGCAGGGTCGGGGGTAGAGATGCCCCCCAGCAAGAAAGCAGGTGAGACACCCCCAACCCTCCCCAGGAGCTGGGAGGATCCATTCCAGGCCAAGAGAGGCCTACTGGGGAAGGTTCATTCAGGGAAGAACTAAGAAAATGGAAGGTTCCATTCTCAGTGGGAGTGGTGGGGGGGTGGTTTCTTTTTGGAAGGGCCTGAGATGAACCATTCAAGGGCAGGGGAAGCTCCCCGAAAAGTCCATTCCAGGGGAAGGGGTGGCCTTGAAGGGACATGAGGGTGGGACAGAATTCACGGTGGGAGCTGCGGATTCTGGGGAGTTCATCAGAAGGACTGAGAGCAGGCTGGTAGAAAGGGAACCCACCGTGCTTTAAGTTGAGGGGTGTGGGGAAAATAAAAGACACAGATATGCCCTTGCAGCTGAGTTAAGAGATCAGAAGGGGTCTGCCCGTCTCCTATCCGCACTAAGAACCCGGTTTATTTTTCTCCTTCCCGTTCTGGCCAGGCTCACAGAAGCCAACCCCAGAGGGCCGAGAGTCCAGCCGGAAGGTTCCGCCACAGAAGCCCCGGAGAAGCCCGAACACCCAGCTCTCTGTCTCCTTCGATGAGTCCTGTCCCCCAGCCCCCACTCCTCGTGGGGGGAATCTGCCCCTTCAGCGCCTCAGTAGGGGGTCCTGCATAGCTGGGGACCCTGAGGTGGGTGCCCAGGAAGAGGAGCCCGTGTACATTGAGATGGTGGGGGATGTCTTCAGGGGAGGAGGACGAAGTGGAGGGGGCCTGACTGGGCCCCCTCTTGGGGGTAGGGGCCCAACCCCTCCAGCGGGCGCTGACTCGGACTCAGAGGAGAGCGAGGCCATATATGAGGAGATGAAGTACCCACTGCCCGAGGAGGCAGGGGAAGGCCGGCCCAACGGGGCCCCCGCATTGACCGCAAGCTCCTCGCCACACCAGCCTCCCGCCCTGCAGCCCCACGCCCACCGCCGGCCAGCTTCAGCCCTCCCGAGCCGGAGGGATGGGACACCTACCAAGACCATTCCTTGTGAAATCCCCCCGCCCTTCCCCAACCTCCTCCAGCACCGTCCTCCGCTCCTGGCCTTCCCCCAAGCCAAGGCTGCTTCCCGAACCCCTGGCGATGGGGTCTCGAGGCTACCAGTCCTCTGCCACTCGAAGGAGCCAACGGGCTCCACCCCAGCTCCCCAAGTGCCTGCCCGGGAGCGGGAGACGCCTCCCCCACCGCCTCCGCCTCCTGCTGCCAACCTGCTGCTGCTGGGACCCTCGGGCCGGGCCCGGAGCCACTCAACACCGTTGCCACCCCAGGGCTCTGGCCAGCCCCGGGGGGAGCGGGAGCTCCCCAACTCCCACAGCATGATCTGCCCCAAGGCGGCAGGGGTGCCGGCAGCCCCTCCTGCCCCGGCCGCCTTGCTCCCTGGCCCCCCCAAGGACAAGGCTGTGTCTTACACCATGGTGTACTCAGCAGTCAAGGTGACCACGCACTCCGTCCTGCCAGCTGGTCCACCCCTAGGTGTTGGGGAACCAAAGACGGAGAAGGAGATCTCGGTCCTCCATGGAATGCTGTGCACCAGCTCGAGGCCCCCAGTGCCTGGGAAGTCCAGCCCCCACAGCGGGGCCATGGGCGCGGCAGCTGGGGTCCTCCACCATCGGGGCTGCCTGGCCTCCCCACACAGCCTTCCGGACCCGACTGCGGGCCCCCTGACTCCCCTATGGACCTACCCAGCTGCAGCAGCTGGGCTCAAGAGACCCCCTGCCTATGAGAGCCTCAAGGCCGGGGGGTTGCTGAATAAGGGCTGTGGAATGGGGGCCCCATCCCCCATGGTCAAGATCCAGCTGCAGGAGCAAGGGACCGACGGGGGTGCCTTTGCCAGCATCTCCTGCGCCCATGTCATCGCCAGTGCAGGGACACCAGAGGAGGAGGAAGAGGAGATGGGCGCCACGACATTTGGGGCAGGCTGGGCTCTGCAGAGGAAGGTCCTGTATGGAGGGAGAAAAGCAAAAGAGCTGGACAGTGAGTGAGGGGTGGGAATTTGGGGGTGGGGGAACTGGGGATGCTTGTGATGATCTTGAGGAAGTGTTGGGAGGGCTTGTCTGGAAGCCACAACCCATTGTCCTGAAGTGGGAAGTTTTCAAGGAGACTGGAGAATAAGGGCACGAAGCAGGCTGAGGGGCCAGGCTCCCCGTGTGCGTGCTGGATGGGCAGGAAGACCTACAATGGGGAGAGGCTAGAATCTGGCCCCAAGGGTAACCACTTCCTGCCCCGTCCTGCTCTACTCCCTGCCCTTCTCTTTGCTAGGTTGCAGGGGTGTGTGTGTGTGAGTGTGTGTGTGTGTGTGAGTGTGCGCACACTAGGAGCTAAACACAGCTGCCTCCCAGCTGTTGCCATGGCAACCCATCCAGACAGGAGGGAGAGGAGAGGGAGGCCCCTACCGTTGCCTGGCAACGCAATGCTCTGCCAGGCCTCCTCCCGGAGCTGAGCTTAGTTCCCTAGCAGCCCTTCCCCCAACACCCCCCCCTTCCCGGCTCAGGATTTGGGATCTCCCCTCTGTGTTTCAGAGGGTGGTCGCTGCGGCCCTATCGGCCGGAGAGGCTGTGGAGCTGAAGCTGGGGTAGGGGAGACCCCTGTGACCACAGAAAAGGGTTTGGTGGTAGCAAATACTTGTCTCAGGCCAGGGATGGCACTGATGGGTGGAAAGGAAAGTGGCAGTATTGGGGTCCCTCCTGTGTGTTGGGGGGGGGAGTGTGAAATAGGTTCCCTCCTTGCTCTGTTGTGACTCGCAGAAGGGCAGTCACTTTTGGTCCACACGTATCGCAGTGGGTGTAGCTGGGGGGACAGCAAGACCCTTCCCGTGGACAGGCACTAAGCTCTCGTTATCCCAGCAGAGGTCGAGGATGGTGGCCGGGCCTGGAATGGCAGTGCCGAGGGTCCAGGCAAGGTGGAGCGTGAGGAGCGGGGCCCCATGGCATCAGGGATCCCAGTGAGGAGTCAGGGGGCAGAGGGCCTGCTGGCCAGGATCCACCACGGAGGGGACCGAGGAGGGAGTCGCACAGCGCTGCCTGTACCCTGCCAGACGTTTCCTGCTTGCCACCGCAATGGAGGTGACACCCCACTCGGGGCCCTTACAAAGATGGGGCTGGAAGGGGAGAGATCTCCCAGGGTCCATGTCGTGGGCCCTCCATTCTGACAACGATGTCGCTATCCCCTTGCTTCCCCTGCTGAGTCAGGGGTAGCCTGGAGGGGGCTGTGGGAGGGGAACCGGGAGGCCCCTACCCTCGTCACTTATCTGTCCACCTCAGACTTCACAGGAGGCTACCGCCTGGGACGCTCGGCCTCCACATCTGGAGTCCGGCAGGCCGCGCTCCACACGCCCCGACCCTGCAGCCAGCCTAGGGATACCCCAAGCCAGGTGAGGGGAAGACCACGTTGGGTTTTCTTTTATTTGTGAAGGAGCAGGTGGAGAAGAAGGTCTGGGTTTGGAAAGAAAAGCAGGAGGTCAAGCTCGGGGCGGGGTTGGGGCAGGGGCTGGCACAGCGGAGTAGGCCCTCCTCGGGGTGGGGGCTGGGGTTGATCCTGGGAGGGGCTGTATTCCATGGGGACAGCCAGACAGCTGCCACCACTAGCCTGCCATGGGCCTTCGTGCATTTAGAAAATGGGGATACCGATTCGAAAAGTGCGTTCTACTGGGAAGATAGTTCTTTAAAGGGGTGCCCATTCCTTAGGGTGAGACAGGCCCAGCCTGGCACTAGGGCACCCACTAGGTGCAAGAGGTGGGTTTCTGTCCCTGTCCCCCTACCGGAACACACACTCTCAGCCAGGGGGAGAGGACTTGCTTCTGGGGGAAGACATTGGTCTTTGCGGTGGGGGACGGGGCCTGGTCGCTCTGAGGTCCTTGACCTCCCCCCTCCTTTCGCCTTCCTCCCCTCGTCGCGGGCCGGCGGGCGGGAGGAAGGAGAACAGACCCAGCCCGCGCTGCCGCTGCCGCTGCCCCTGCCGCCTCAGCCCGCCCGCGAGCGCGACGGCAAGCTGCTGGAGGTGATCGAGCGCAAGCGCTGCGTGTGCAAGGAGATCAAGGCCCGCCACCGCCCCGACCGAGGTCTCTGCAAGCAGGAGAGCATGCCCATCCTCCCCAGCTGGCGGCGGGGGCCCGAGCCCCGCAAGTCCGGCACCCCGCCCTGCCGCCGGCAGCACACCGTCCTCTGGGACACTGCCATCTGAGGAAGCCGGGAGGCCGGGGCGCCGGACTGGGGAGCGGGGCGGGGGTGCCCGGCTCTCTGGGAGACTTGCCTTGAAAGAGGGACACTTGAAGGACCAGGTGAGAGAAAGCCAGGGAGAACCCCCAGCCTTGCACCCTAACAACCGCCCCCCACCCCGGAGACGGGGGAGTCTGCCAGGCCCATCGGGCACGGCCCCCCTGCCCCACCCGCATCCCCTGAAATTCGGGGAGGAGGGTTTGAGGTTGGGAGTGAGGCCCTCCGCTGCTCTCCACGCTGGGAGAGGCAGACGACGACTCCTGAGAGGGCAAAGGCCAATCCCGGAGGTCAGCATGGGGGAGGAGGAAAGGGAAGGGAGGAAGGGGGGGCGGGTCAGGTGAAGGACGGGGCTAGCGAGTGTGAGGTAGAGGGGCTCTTTTATAGAGCCGGGAGTGGGGAGGGGGTATTTATTTCGTTATTTATTTTAGTTGGGAGGGCAGTTCTGGCCTCTTTTGACCTACTCCTGGTTAGGGAGTAGGCAGTGGCGGGCAATTAAAGGGAACCAAGTTGGCGATCTCCCCAAGCCTGAAGCTGGCACAGCAACACCCACCCTGACCGTGGGGATTGGTGTGGATTGGGGAGCCAAGCAAGAGGAGGGAGGGGCCCCAGCGAGCTGAGGGCCGCAGACTCATTTACAGTATTTTACCACGGCCAGAATTTGGTAGTGAGTGTGGCCTGCTGTGTAACAGGCATCTTACTTAGCTCTGGGGTGAGGGGGTAGCACCAGGGATGGGCGGGATGATGGGGAAGGAGGGAGATTTTAGCGGGTGGGGGGTGGGCGGGGTATTTATTTAAATAAAAAAAAAAATCAGAAGAGATGTCAGGAACTTTTTTTTAATTCCTTTCTTTTCAGAATAATATATTAAAAGACTAATGATCCTAGAACTGGCTTCTTAGAGTTCAGTGTGCTCTGCTTTTCTTACACCTGTTTCTTTTCTCTCTTGGCCGGTGGTTGGTGGGAGTTCGAGGTGGTGGTGCAAGGGAAGGGTGAGTGGCTGGGGAGAGGTGGAGTTGGAGGTAAGTCTGGGAATGCCTACTGAGTGAGCTTCCTTGTGCTTGGGAATGCACCCATGCAGGAGCATTCAGACTGAAGCCTGCCCTTAGGCAGCCTGTAGTCCACTCAGGGATGAGACATCTGGGACAACACCAGGTGTTGCTACAGCAGTAAGGGGGTTATAGGAATCATCTAAGAAGGCTTTCTAGAAAGTGAGCCTAAAAGGACAGGTAAAGTTTGGATGAGCAGGGAGAGGAGGGAAAGTCCCAAGGTCACACACAGTATGATTGTCTGCAGAACAGAAGATGGGGGTAGGGCAGGAAATGTGTTTAAATAATGCAAAGGGCAATGAGTCAACCGCAAATGATGCTGGTTCAGAGAGATGGGCATCAAAGCAAGATTCTGATCCTCAGGAAGCAATCACCAAGGAGGATAAAAAAGTGGGAGAATGGAGGGCAAGGGACAGTTTGCAAGACGGAGCTGGAAGAACATCCTTAGGCGGGGAATGAAGGAGCTGAATGGGGCATCCTAGAAGCCCAATTTTAGAACTCCTGTGACTGGGGAAATGATCACTTTGACAGAGCAAAGCTAGTGGGGTAAGAGGGATTTTGAGGGAAGAACGCTGAATTGGAAGCAGTGGTTAATACCCAGGTTGAAAGGTTTGTTACCAGCTAGAACAGACTTTTCAGAAAGTTTGGTGAATGATACAAGAAATGTTGCTAGCAATCTGAAGAACATTTTATGGGTTGTTTTTTTTTTAAGATTTTATTTTTAATCTGCACCCAATATGGGGCTCGAGCTCACAACCCAGAGGTAAAGACTCGCACGCTCTATGAACTGAGCCAGCCAGCCAGGTGCCCCAAGAAGAATTTTTTTTTTTTCAAACTTCAGTAGTTTTCTATTTATTTTCATTCCTATTAGATAAATTAAAACCAGCACATCAAAGTATTCATTATTCCTTGGATATTATTGTACAAGATAAAGCTAAATTTACTTTTAATTAGTTATTTTAAAGAAAAATGTTAAATAATGGTGCAGGTATGATATACAGAATATGGAAAATTATGACAGCAATATGACAGTTTTTAGAATTTGGGAAACACCAAGTTAGAAATGAGAGTTTGGGAGAGATGAGAAGTTGGGAAAAGATTAAAAGACTCTGGACATTAGGAATCATCAACCGAGAACTAATACTCCAGGCCTAGACTGAATTGTATAATGGAGAATTGGATAAAGAGATGCATTAAGAACAAAATATGAACAAGAAATAGCTTTCTACATTTTAATATTTTTAATTGAGATATATCAACATACAACATTGTATTAGTTTCAGGTGTCCAACATAATGATTTGATGTATTTATATATTGTGAAATGATTGTCACAGTAAATGCAGTTAACATCCATCCCCACACATAGCTACAGTTTCTTTCCTTGTGATGAGAACTTTTAAGATCAACCCTCTTAGCAACTTTCAAATGTTATTGTTAACTATAGTCACTATGGTATACATTACTACTCTAGGACTTATTTATCTGATAACTGGAAGTTTGTACCTTGAACCACCTTCACGAATTTTGCCCATGCCCTAACCCCATCTCTGACAACCACCAACCTGTTCTCCATGTCTGTGAGTTTTTTGTTTTTAGGTTCCGCATGTAAGTGAGATCATAGAATATTTGCCTTTCTGTCTGACTTATTTCACTTAGCACAATGCCTCAGTGTTGTCACAAATGGCACAATTTCTGAAACCTTTTAAATAATTAGAAAATTACCGGAAGTAAATATCCTGCTTATAAGAGCAAAAGGAATCCTAAAATACCTCAAAGTAACTTTAATAATGTATAGGACTTATATTTGGTCAATCAATAAAACTAAAGTCCTCTGAGTTAAACCAGGATTATTTGCATATAAGCAGAGTAATAACTTGTTTGTAGATAAGAAGGCCATAATATAAAAGATAAGCAGTTTTCCCTGAAACCATAAATTTGATGCAGTCTCTAAATTCCAAAAGGATGAGTTAGGAAACTTGACAAAATAATGCAAAAGTTCATCCAGAATGATAATGAGAAAAACCAGAACATTCTGAAACAGATGAGTAATGGGGAGACCTAGTCTACCAATATTAAAAGTTGAAACAAAAGCACAGTGTGCTGGGATTGGCACAGGACTGGCACATCCATCAGAATAGAGTCCAGAAATAGCTCCAAATGCACATGGGAATTTGGCATGGATATGATAAAGGTGGTTATTTTAAGGGGAAAACAATTATTCAATGGTGGTTTCTTGATTAGCTACTTAAGGGAGAGTGTGGGAAGCTGGATTTCTATTTCATTCGTTATGCCAAAAGATTTAAATGTAGAAACAAAAACATTAAAAGCGAAAAATGGGTGAACATTCTTTTAACCTTGGGATGGAGAAGGTCTTTCTAAAATGACATGCAAACCAGAAACAGACTGAAACACTTTTAAGTTTGATCATGTTCTCAACCAAAACGTCTATATGGCAAACTCAAACTATGAACATTAAACTAGGAAAATATTTTTTTAGATTCTATTTTTAAGTGATCTCAACACCCAAGGTGGGGCTCAAACTCACGATCCCGAGATTGAGTCACACACTCCACTGACTGAAGGAGCTAGGCACCCTATGGAAAAAGATTTCAAACACATGAAAAAGATTGACACAGTATATCAGAAAGACTTGTGAGTTGATAAGAAAAGGAAAAAACAACCCAAACGAAGGACATGAGCAGATAATTCACCAAAGAAACAGAAATTACCAACAAACATGTTCAACCACAACCACAAGTGATATGAAATACAGCAATAATAAAATACTTTCTATCTGTCTGACAAAACTGAAAAAAACTCATAGCATCAATCTGGCAAGTATATATGGAAAACAGGCACTCATTGTGTAAACGTAAATACACCTTTTCTGGAAGTCAGTTTAATAATATTTGTTAAAAATTTGGGCACCTGGGTGGCTCAGTTGGTTAAGCAACTGTCTTCGGCTCAGGTCATAGTCCTGGGATGGAGTCCCACATCAGGGTCCCAGCAACATGGGGAGTCTGCTTCTCCCTCTGACCTCCCCTCTCATGCTCTTACTCTGTCTTTCTCTTTCAAAATGAATAAATAAAACCTTTAAAAAATTTGTTAAAAATTTAAATGTACATAGTTTTGACTCAAATTCCATTTCCAGGAATTTATCCTACGGAGGTGGTTACACAAGTGCACAAAGCTAGATGCACAAATGTGCTAATTGCTGGGCTGTTTGAAATGATGAAAAATTGGAAACAACCCCAATTTCATTAGTATGGCACTAATTTATGGTAACAATGGAACACTGAAGCTGTTAAATTGAACACAGAAGGTATCGATGTTCTAAACTCAAGTTCACAATAAATAAGTGAATAAAGCAATGTGTGGAAAAGCACATTTTTAGAAAAAAACTCGTAAAAAACACATTTTTAGAAAATCATTTATGTATAAATTTTTATGTAGGTCCGGAAGAAAATACACCAAATATTTGATGGTGATTACTTGAGGTCTGAGAAGAGAGGGGGCTTAATTTGATTTTTTTAAAAATGTATATTGCGGGCATCTGAGTGGTTCAGTGGGTTGAGCCTCTGCCTTTGGCTCAGGTCATGATATCAGGGTCCTGGGGTCGGGCCCCACATCAGGCTCTCTGCTCAGCAGGGAGCCTGCTTCCCCCTCTCTTCTGCCTGCCTCTCTGCCTACTTGTGATCTCTCTGTCAGATAAATAAATAAAATCTTTGAAAAAAAAAAAAAGAACCTTACAAACTAGTAATAAAGGAAATTTTTTAAAAAATGTATATTGCTTGAATTTTTGCATAGATCTTTACCCGGACATCAGAAATTATATTTTTAAATTTCTTTTAAAAATTTATTTGAGAGAGAAAGCATGTGCAAGGAAGCATGAGTGGCTAGAGGGGTGAAGGGGGAGCGG